CCATCGTTGGTCGGTTCGCGCGTTGCCCGTAAAGTCTAATTGCCCGCAACGCCGTGCGCCTTCCTCCGCCGCCTCGTTTTGCCCTTTTACATTTCTGCCTGGTGTTGGGCCGCCCCGTAGCCGTGGTTTTTTGAGGTAAATACGCACACTACCAGTGGGTTGGGTTTTAGTGCAGTGCTGAGGCAGAAGGGGGAACGTCGTCACCCCATTAAACTTTTTTTTCTCTCTGGGGCTCGCCCGCCCGCTTGGCCAGGCCTGGGGCCAACTACTTCAAGGCCAGCAGTGTGCCCTCGTCCGGTACTCCTCTTCTTAGCAACCGACGGCCGCTGCTCGGGGAGAAGAAGCAGCGAGCTTTTGGCGCGGCCAACCACGGCGTCGGCACCAAGCAGCTACGTAAAGCGTGGAGCGGGCCTAGCACTCCCGGGCCAGCCAGCCCTCATCTCACTGCTGCCAGTGCCCGGGCGCCGACGAGAAGAGGGCACGCCATCTGTCCCGCGCTACTTTGCCTCTCTTTCTCTCGCCCTCATTTTCTTGTTGAAGCAACGAGCACTACAGGGGTATATCCACGCTGCCCCGGCCCTGGGTGCCTGATTCTCAATTTTTTTTGCTATTGTGTGTCTACCCGAACCGGGCATAGTTCCAAACCCTCTTAGTTACTCACCGTCGGGTGTGTCTTTGTTTTTTTGGAGGGGGTTGAGGAGATAGCTTTTTTATTAGGTACTGGTTGATAGCGTCACTCCAGATAGGCGTGTGCGCAATGGGCCATCTGGACACGACCGTCTCGACGGAATACCCTTCGGCGTTTGACACGCCCGACGGCCTAGGGCCCGATGGCGGAGCGCAAGCTATGCATATCAAAAAGCGACGCATGACCGCTCCCCATCTCAACCCTGCCGTGGAGAGCGACGACCTCACCGTGGCCCACAATCCCGATTCCGACACCACGTCTGGTCTGAGTTCCTTGACCGGCTCTACGCTCTACGCCACCTCCAATGTGTCCGAGGCGATGATCCACGCCGGCTTAGGAGCGTGGTCTGCGGGAGACCAATCCCCTTTTCTTCTCGCCAACGCCGACCAATTTGCCGGACCCACCCACGTGGACCCGGCCGCGACCAGCCTCACTTCGGGGGCCACCGACTACAGTGCCATGGACGGCCACTTGGGCCTCCCCTCGGCCCCGCCACCCACCGCACCCGCGTCGTTTGCGTCGTCGGTCGAAGGGTTGGCGTTCTCGCCGGGTAGCGAGCCACCGCGCCCTCTTCCCCCTCGTGTCAACCGTGTCTTGAGCCACCGTTCACCCCTTCGCGGAAGTCGTCTGTCGTCCAAAAAGCCCCGGTCCTTGAGTCTGGCGTTTGTCAAAACTCAGGGCGCCGATGGCGGCGCGGGGGCTGACCTGCACACCCAGTCGCCGGGACCAACCACGCCGGCCATGTTCTCGCCGAGCTTTCTCGATGCCCTCAATACCCCGACCGCCCCCGAATCACCCATGCTGTTCAATTTCTCCTCCCCGGGCGTGGAGCACAACCCACTGATTCACAGCTCGGACCTGGGCCTGCCCGAGGGGCTGCACAGCCCCGCGCACATGCCCCCTGGTTTTGGCCAGCACCTGGACCCTACCACTATGGACCCAGCGTCACTGTCCATGGCCCACCACAACGGTGCCCCCATGCCTTGCTCCCTGCCCTATGCCAATATGCCAACGCTGCGTAGTCGCATGGGCAGCCTCAATCAATTTACCAACCCTTACCCCACGTCCCCACTCTCGCCCCATACCCCCATGGGCGATGGGGGTATGATGTCCAACCTCATGTCCATGACCATGCAGAGCTTTGGTCCCCCACCGCCCGGGCCTTCGCCGCACCCACACCTGATTCACCCCATGGTCCCGCTGAGCCGTGATATTAGCCTATCGCAGTGCCAGCCAAGCTCCTCGGGGTTTGTCCCCAGCTTTAGCCCCGAAAAAGACGAAAAATGCATTGTCATTATGACCCCCAAAGTGGCACAAAAGTCGTATGGCAGCGAAAAACGCTTCCTTTGCCCACCGCCCACGGTTCTCCTGCTGGGCACCAACTGGCTTATGTCACCTTACCATGTGCAGTCGAGTGGCAGTACCTTGAGGGAGCTATTGAAGCATGTGGGTCCCATGGTGCAAGTCAGCATCCCGGACGAAGGAGCTGTGCCGCAGCCCCCAACGCTGGACTGGATGGGTGAAGACCTAGGGCTGCCCTACACCGATCAATCACGCACTGCCACCGTGACAGGACGAAGCGTGTCTAAGAACCTCTACATCAACGAAGCAGACGAGAAACGTAAACGTGTCAAGGTGCAGGTGAAGCTGCAAACGCCTCATAACGAGTCCATTGGGTCCTTTTTGTCCAAACCCATCAAGGTCATCTCCAAGCCATCCAAAAAGCGCCAGAGCCTCAAAAACATCGAACTGTGCATCCACCATGGCACCACCATCTCCCTGTTCAATCGGCTGCGGTCGCAGACCGTGTCCACCAAGTACCTGGGGGTGCAAAACTCGATTGCTTCGGGTGGGCCCTGCCCCGATTGGTCCAAGGTCAATGATATTCCCACCACCCGCGATCAAACTAGCTTCGTGGCGCGCACCAACACTTGGGATCCGTTTATCATTTGGATTGTGGACCAGAACCAACCGTATCCTGACATGGACGCGTATCCCAACTTACTACCGGTTCCTGGCTACCCACCTCCACCTGCCATGGCCATCCACCCTCGCCGCCCTCCAGAGTTGCCCGATGCCGAAGGAGGTTCGCCGGGGACTTCAACCAACAATGGCGACGGCGATGGCAACGCGGCACCTAGCTGCCCGCCGATTCCCATTCACTACAACCAAACCGTGGTGCTGCAGTGCCTGTCCACGGGGATGGTGAGCCCCGTGATGATTATCCGCAAGGCTGAAAAGGGTAGCCTGGTATCGGGTGGCAACTACGCCAATGAACTGGGCAAGGAGTATTTGGGCGATCCCGTGTCCCAGCTGCACAAGGTCGCCTTTGAGCTCAAGCAGAATGTAACGCAGCCCCACAACTTTCCCAACGGGGACCGGGGATCGTATTTGGCCTGCCTGGGTGACGCTGTTGGAACCCACGCCAGCCCCGACGGCAAGAAGCTATCTCCACACCTTGCTACCCCACCCAACTCCACCGATGGGGAAATCTCCCCCACTGCTTCCACCACGCAAATGCTGGGAGGCGTTGGCCAGCCATTTGATGGGTTTGGGTACGGCAACCCAGGTCTGCCGCCTGCTCCCATGGGTGTCATGCCCGCGCCCGTCAAACCAGCTTCGGCTAAGAGCTCCAAGCGGGGCAGTATGTCGCGATCAGCTAGCCACCAGGAGCACGCCGCCAACTCAGCCGCCTGGGTGGAGGATGCCAACGATTCGGCCATCTGGACTATAGTCAGCACCGAATTCTCCCAGTATACGTTCAAGACCAACGTCTCAACGCCAGCGGCATCCAGTGCCGCGGGGCCACCCAGCGCAGGCGCTACTAGCATGGGCCAGTCGGCGTATGACATGGTGCCGTTGACCCCGGGGGGCACCGCCACGGTGTCGCACCCTGGTGCGGTGGCTGCAGGTGGGGGCATGCTCGGCAGCAGCAATACCGCACTCACCCCAGCCCACGGCACCTTGGATCCAAAGGCCATGCACCCCCCGTACGCGGCAGCCTTTAATGGCGGTATGGCTATGGGCATCCCCACCGTGACCCAGATTATTGTCAATGACGGCTCCCAGTCACAGCATTCGCCGCCTCATTCCGTTGGCGATGGCTCTAGCAATGGCACCGATGGCACAGCTGCTGGTGGGGGTCACGCTTCAGCGCAGTCCACTCGTCCAGTGGTGACAGTGGTGGGCGATAACTTTACCCCGCAGATGAGCGTATGGTTTGGCAACCAACCGAGTACCCACACCGAATTCCGGAGTCCACAGGTATTATTGTGCTTTGGTCCTGTCGCCAGTGACTTTGGTATGAGCATGGAAGCGTCGCGGGGCATGTCCCTTCCCATTATGATCACAGCCACCACCAACGGGCATGGCGGCGGAGCGCACGGTAGTGACAAGGACAAGTTGGCAACATTTTCGACGGGCCATAATTTTACTCTATAGCTAAAGCTTTAGCATATCGGCGGGCAAGTTTTGGTGCGCAACGTCGTGTACAGCAAGCCTCCTGATAAAGCGCGCCCCGTGCGCTTTGCCAGCTGGAAAAATTAGTTTCACCACGGACGATGTGTATAGCTTTTATATGAGTAGCGGTGCGCTGTGGTGTGGGAGTCGCCTTGTCAGGCTGTGGGGCGTGGTCATGACCGAGGACCTTGCTTGAACGTTTAACTCCTCAAGGGGTGGGATGTTTTTGTTTGACCAGCGCGATTTCGTTACTGTTGTTGATTTTGTTTGAATTCGTGGGCCAGTTATGCCTGGGTAGTCTGTGTTTCTATACTTTGCTTGTAGTCTCAGTAGTGATTGCCTGCGCATCTGTTTGGTTGGTCCCTCTTTTGTTTGTCCACATTTATGTCCGTGATGCCGCTAATGTGACCACCATCATCTTTGAGTCTTTATGTGTGTGAGTCCAAGCTGTTTAATTTACGCTTAATTTTGTCCCCCACGATAAGCAGTGGTGTGTATGTGCTCTGTTTTTTGTTTATTCTGTGCCTATTTATATATGGTAGCCCACTGTGATAATAATACACTCCTCTGTTTGCACCCTGGTCGTCATTAATTAGCCATGTAAAGTCGGTTTATGACTATGACCAACGGCAGCCAGGTGCAGCTACTGCAGTACCAATAGAAGCCATTGCGTGGCTGGAGGCCCAGCGGTAATGCCCAACAGGGTACTTTGCATAGCCATGTAGTTACCCAAAAAAAAACAAAAGGTCCAGTATTGGTGGATATTCGTGAGAGTACCTTGGTGGTGCATGAAGAGTGTAAACTGGCCTTGTATTGATAGGAGATTAGTAAAAATTTGAAAAACGGCAAAAAATCCGAGAACCCGGATTTGAACCAGGGACCTAGAGATAACTTATACACTACAGTCTCCCGCTCTACCAACTGAGCTATTCTCGGTTTAAATTGTAAAGTATTACTAAATGCCACCCATTTAGTATGACTAAGTGTAAACGACTACTACGCCTGAGCTGATAACCATCACTAA